GAAATGTATACACGGCCGTGCTAATGTAACGAGCAGATACACATTGACGCAGCATCTATACGCACGTTTGATCACAGTGCCCCTTGTGACGCGGGCGAATCACTCGAGTCGGGATACCTCGCAGGCGCGCGCAAATTGCACGCAAATTCCCACCGGTCCGCCGTCCGTCGTCCACGACGTTGACTTCTTCGTGACACTTGGCTCCCTTTTGTCAGAGCGCATCCTGCCGTGCGCGAGAGAGACGAATCCTCCGGGCCGCGCCCCAGCCGTTCGTGCAAAGCAAAACGGGCCGAAGTAAAGCGAGGCAAAGTAAAGCAAAGCGAAGCAAAGTGCGCGCGGTGAGTGAGCGAACGGTTCCCTCGCCGAGAGAGAGAAAGAGAGAGTCCAAGTCGAAGTCGGCTGTCTCAGATTACATCGTGTCACCTCGCCTCGGCCGGCCTGGCTCCGACACGCGGGAGAGAACACACGTGTTAACATCTTGTCGCCCGAACCCTCGGAACCGGTGAAGCCACGGGCACTCAGCTAGTCTCTCTTTGGCCGATACCGAACTCGGATCTCGCGCGGCGATCTGTTTCCCAGAGTAACTTCATCGTCTCGTCTCCGAACCGAGATAACGATGCTTGTAATTACGTTGTTCGGAAAATGTACGCGCGCCACGTGGACACTAGCTGATGACAAATGTCCCGCGCGCCTTACATACCTGCCGTCCATCTTTCTGACAGAAAGATTGAGGTATATCATTATTTCCTGGTCATATTTAACAATAATACTTTATTGATCGGTTACAGTATACAAAAGAATAAAAGAACAACAAACGTACATAATATTGACAACCAAAACGATGAAACAACTTTGTAATTGACTTCAAAATGCTTAATCTATAACTAATTATCCTTATAAACAAAAATCTTAATCTAAATATAATCTAATGTACGAGGTTTGATAAAAAAATACGCAGAATTTTTAAATTTCGCGGGCTGCATAAGTCCAATTGTCACAATTTTTGTTGTTGTGTTGGTATACTTGTACCCTGACATATCTTAACATATTGGATGCCATATTGGATGCTTACTTTATTGTTGGCTGTCGAAAAGGTTACACGTGTTTTGGTATATTCGGCCATTTGTAACTTGTGGAAAAAATGGAACAAAGAATTTGCATTAAATTTTGCTTTAATAATGGAAAGTGCAGCACCGCATTGGAAATATTGATTGTTGCTTTTAACGAATCTTTTATGAATAAAACAAGCGTTTACAAGTGGTACAAACGTTTCCAAGAGGGCCGTGAAGACGTTGAAGATGACGAGCGCCCTGGACGCCAACAACCGATGACAACGTCGAAAAAGTGAAGAAAATGATTATGGACAATCGCCGAATCACTATCAGAGAGGTTGTTGATGATGTTGGCATATCATTTGGCTCATGCCAAGCAATTTTTTGGGATGTTTTGAGCATGAAACGTGTGGCAGCAAAATTTGTCCCGAAATTGTTAAATTTTGTTCGTGAATTTTTGACCAAAAACGACACCGTTATGATGCCTCAGCCTCCGTATTCGCCGGACATGACCTGTGACTTTTTCCTATTCCCGAAGCTGAAAAGAACCACGAAAGGACGATATTTTGCCAACATTGAAGAGATAAAGACAGAATCGCTGAAGGAGCTAAACGCCATACCGAAAATAGCATTCCAGAAGTACTTTGAAGATTGGAAAAAGCGCTGGCACAAATGTATTATATCTGATGGGGAGTATTTTGCAGGAGACAACATTAATATCGATGAATAAAGATTTTTTTAGAAAAACGAAAATTCCGCGTATTTTTTTATCAAATTTCGTATAATCATGTATCTATATCTAAATTACAAATCGGATAGGTATTCAGCAATATACAAACAGCGCAACATAGTATTACAAAAAATAATGGAATATTTATCAAATTTAAAACCAATTTCCAAACAATTATACCATCAAAATTTGGACTTGCATGGATAATAATGTGTTTTATATTTTAAAGCAAAACATTGATGTTTGTAGATTTTCGACTGTTAAATTTTGCTCCAAAAAAAGGTTCATCGTTAGTTGAAACTTATCTCTCGCGTAAAAGATATGTGGAACTATCTAAATATTTCAGTTGAATCATATGATACTTGCGACATTATATTTGTAGTCGCGATTCGACTGAAACAAAATCGCATCCAATTCTAGATTCCGTTTCGAGGACTTGAGACGAGTTTTAAATAATGACTATTCGTATGCAATGGACAGCGGAGAAGAAAGTCTGATTGAAGACCTCCAAATGTCAATATTTTGCTTTAAAACCACAAAATACACCGTCGTGCGTGCGATGCGCTCGGAGCACACGATAACAAATCGGATTCGCCCGGTCTATTCAAAGAACGGCAAGTAGGAATAACGCTCGTCACGGGTAAAGACCGTAATCGGTTTGGCGAGTTTGGCGATCGAACGGAAGACAAGATTCGCCATCGGACCGTTAAGGCGGTTAAGCGCTTTCGCAAATGGGCTCAGACACAATGGGCTCTCGTACCGAGAGCAGGCCACGGTCGATATGAATGTCAGCGGGCGCGCGCGGGGCGCGAGTTAGAGTACGCTTTCACGCGTTTATCGTGCGTTATATTTTTATTGCCACGGCCTCCGGTCCCGGTTATGGGCATACCCGGATTAGTCTCGATGTGTACGCAGCTGAGGCCCCGCCGCCGCCGCCACCATGGTCTCCCGCATACACGAACCCTACTACCCTAACTATCCGGGATCAATAAAGGCGTATTGACGGCTTCATCTTCCCAGTTACGGCTGGCGCTCATAAACGATCCGGATTGTTTTAAACGGGTACTCGCGCCGTTGTAATTTCGCCCGAGCGTCATGATTTCCCACTATCGTGCTGCGGTGCGCGATTTGACGTATGCGACACATACGGCTCTTTTCTTTTTTATACACGCTGTCCAGAGCGCGAGAACCAGGACGCGAAAAAGGGCGCCGATCGTTTCGAGATGGAACGGAAATATTTGCTACGAAATGAACTTTTGCGTTTGGTGAAAAAAAAAAAGGAGAAACGGAGAAGAGAAGCGAAAGCTGAACGAAGGGACAGAGAAACCGAGAGTCTACACACACACACATACGCGCGCGGGTTTTATAATAGCATATTGAATGCGTGCGCTGCAAGGGGGTTGCATAAATTCATTTTAACCCGTATTCCGTATTTTTCGATCATGGAAAGAGGATTATACGAACCGGTGACACAATCTGTTAAGGGGAGTGGAGCACCCTCGTTATAATGAAATGTTAAAGCGATAATGTTATCGAGGAAATTTGTCATGGATTACAAGTGGATTACAAGTTATTAACAAAACCCTCCAGTCGGACGAAACGTCAAAAAAGGGTGCTCGCGGCTAGCACGGAAAATTCAATATTAAAATCGCGTTGCGAGCGTGATGTCACACGTGACGTTATAATAGCCGAATGTTAACGAGTTCGCACGCTCGCAAAATGCGATTCTCGATCAATGGTTGTAACGAGTACCGCGTTTAATAAGCGTGTCGCGAAATTAGGCTTGTCAAACGACCAATTACCATTCCCGTGTAATTAATGGGGAAATTTGTATTACGCATCCGACAAGTGACTGTTTAGATTCTCAATCAACCGCTGTTCGTATCAGACGTTAAAATATTGTCCTGATCTAAGAAATGTATATGTATATGTATATGTGTATATATATATATATATTTTTTTTTTTTTTTTTTTTTT